AGGTGCTTTGTAATGCTTTAAACAGCAAGCAGATACAATACCTACTATAATTTCAAAGTAGTGACAAATATATTTAACACCTAGGATATCTGCAACACGTGTAATAGAACATAAAAACACCTGATTTCTACTAGTGACAAAGCCACAGACATGACTAATAATCAATGTTGTTTACTGCTTATCTCCACAATAAAAGAAAATGTTAACTTTTTGTTAGTGGTTAGTGAAAATGAAAATAGAATTCTTTTCCCCAAAGAGTTCAAGGACTCCAGAATTCTTTCTATTCTACCCAGGTTCAGAACCCCTATTCTAGGTCCTCTCAGACCAGGGAAAGAACAATCAAGGACAAATATACTTGAAGCCCTTCCATTTTGCCCCCTCTTCTTCTAAAGCTACCTACATTAGGAAAGTCCAGGCCTAGCTTGAATTTCACATCCAGCCATTGGCTTCGATCATAGTCAGGAGCTGTAAGAGACAGAATAAAGTGGGACCCAATCTCCTTAATATCTCACCTAATAAGAGTGAAAAGACCTAAAGAAATTACCTATTCCCAACATCTCAAATTCCCAGCCCCCTACATCTTAACCATTTAGTCTTGGTGCCCTATTTGGTTAAGTACTATGGGCTATGGTAGAAGACAAATCCCCAGCTCCAAGTAAAGGATCCCTCCACTCTCTCCCCACGGGCACAGCAGACGCTGTCATGTGATTGGGGCAGACTTTCCACCCAACTCTGGCGTGATGCCATCCTCTGAGCACAAGAAGACAGAGATGGCTGGAGGGCCAGCTTGGCTTAGCTTGGCATTACCTTCCCCGCACGTATACCGTTTCTCCTCATAAGCTGTATCAGTGAACTCCAGGAGCAGGCGGATGGCGTGCGCCAACTGGGGGAGACAGTCCGGTCAGCGCCTGCGCGGCTCCTACCAGCCCCTCAACCCCCGCCCGCCAACGTCCCCCGGCCCGGGCTGCCGAGGCCCTGCATCCTGCCGGGGCGGTCGTTAAGAGGCTTCCAAGCCCGGCCCCGGCGGCATGCTGTCCTCGGCCCCTCCCGGCGGATCCCAGCAATCCCAGAGGCGGGGCAGGGGTGGGCCTCCATGGCTAGGCAGCTCCTTTGGAGCTGGCCACGGGGAAGGGGTTCCCGCGTAGAGCAGCTTCTCACGGAGACCGCTGTCTCAGAACCACGGTCGCCTCTACATCCGTTTTTCTGACGGAGCCGCTCGGCGATCAAGACAGCACTCACCCCACGAATATCCCAGTAACCCAGAACCACAGACGACTTAGAAGACATAGCGATAACGCTTGAGAGCCTTCGAAGACTGGAGGCGAACGGCGAGCGGGAGAGCTTTTATATCCGATGTGAGTGGGTGGGGCCAATGCGAGCGCCCTGACCGCGCCCCCTCCGTCTCGTCCCCTCCCTCCGCGCGTCCACAGGGCTTTGCGCAGGCGCGGTCTCTCAAGACCCAGAGACCCGGAGTCGGGGTTCGCGGAGGAGGGTTGTAAGTTAGTCAGGGGATGGGAAGTTGAGCCTTCTCACTTCCCCCTTAGTGGGGAACCTGGGATAAAAGGGGATAATGGGAAAGAGGAAGGCTGGGGCCTTGCCTGGGAGTCGAACCCGACTCTGACCCCACTGCGAGGGAGGAGAGTGTTGGAGAAGCAGAGTCTCGCTCTTTTGCCCGGGCTGGAGTTCAGAAGCACCCTCATATCTCCTTGCAACCTCAAATTCCTGCTTAAGAGAATCACTATCTTTGACGCCAGCGTTAGGGAGTAATAGGGTTTGGGGAACAAGGGATGGTGATAAAGCCATAAATCACTTAAACCCATAAAACTGTAAGGTAGGAAGGATTCAAGGTAGGAGATGTTACCTACTTTGGAGGGGGGAACTCTCTGGCCCGGCTAGAGGGTGGTTCTGAGAGTCCTTCCAGGAGAAGGTGGGCATTTCATCAGGGCCCTTGAGGAAGGATAAGTTTTGGACGTTAGAATGCAGGAAAGGGCATTCCAGGTAGGAGGACCGCAGCACAAACACCCGAATGTGGGAAATACCAGTGTGTGTAGAAGGAAGTATTGTTGAGTTGGGCTGATTTATGAAGTTGGAAAAGCACATTGGAGTCAAGTTGCGGAGGGCATTGACTGTCAGCAAGAGGAGTTTGGATGTTTTCCCTTGGTCAGTGGGGAGTCTCCAGAGCACTGCTGTCCAGTAGAAATGTAATGCAAGCCATATGTGTGATTTAAAGTTTTGTGTTGCTAGTAAAAAGAAACAGGAGAATCAATTTTAGTAATGTACTTTATTTAGCCTAATATATCAAAAATACTGTAATTTCAAGTTGTAATTTGCTTTCTTTCTTTCTTTCTTTTTTTTTTTTTTTGGAGATGGAGTCTCACTCTGTCCCCCTGGATAGAGTGTCATGGCATCATAGCTCACAGCAACTTCAAACTCTTGGGCTCAAGCTATCCTCTTGCCTCAGTTTTTCCATTTTTAGTAGAGACAGGGGTCTCACTCTTGCTCAGGCTGGTCTGGAACTCGTGAGCTCAAGCGATCCACCCACTTTGGCCTCCCAGAGTGCTAGGATTACAGGCAGGAGCCACTGTGTCAGCCTCACATGTAGTTAAAATGAAATTAATTCAGATATTTTACAGTCTTCCTACTGTCTTCAAAACACTGTATATTTTAACACTTAGACACATCTCAGTTGAGACTAGCCACATTTCATGTACTCAGTAGCCACATGTGGGTTGCGACTACTGTATTCACCAGTGCAGATTTATATACTTTGCTGAAGTGAGTGATATTGCCAGATTATGCTTCAGGGAAATTAATCTATCTTTTTTGTGTAGAGTAGACCTAAGGAGCAAGGTGTTGCCATTTTTCTTTGATTCACTTATTCATTTATTCATCCACCCATCCATCTATCCATCCATTCACACATTCATCTATCAAACAATGTTTATTGACATGCCTATTCTGGTAAGGCACTGTTTTAGGTGCTGGGAATACAGAATTGAACTCAAAAGATAAAAATTCTTGCTTTCAGGAAAGCTACATTCCAATGGGAAGAGGCAGAAAGAAATGAATATATAATGTCTAGTTAGTCAGATGGAGATACACAGCCTATGGAGAGAAATAAAACCAAGAAGAGAAAGAGAGAATCTTGGAATAGGAGTTGAGGGAGCCCTAGCACTGAAGTGGGAGGAAAACCAAGTGTCCTGGACACCAAGTGAAGACACTTGAAGGAGGGAGTGAGCATCTATGTCAAATGTGGCTGATAGGTCAAAGTAAGATGAAGACTGTGAAATAATGGTTAAATTTAGCAATGTGAGGGTCCTGGTGACCTTGACAGAGCAAGAGATCTCTAGGAGGCCCTAATAGTCCTAGGAAGAAGTAAGTTTCTGAGTTTAAGCAGAGCACATGAAAATGAAATAAAAAGTGTACACACAAAAAAGGGGGGAAAGGGTACAAATTTGCAACAGGAGAGAGAGAGGATTTGTCATTAAAATGTGGAGGAGTGGGAAAGGGACAATCTGTACAAGGGTTTCTGGCTTGAACTCCACAGCACAGCCACCAGCGGTACTCAGCCCTTAGGTCCCCTAGCTGGGGCATGGGAAATCACATTTACCTATTGGCAAAGCTGAAACAAGATTGAGACTTTTAAAAGGACATTTCAATTAATAGAAGAAAGGAAAAAAGTGCAAATACATAGTGACAAGTTTAAAATGCCTGGGTGTCTCCTTCCAAGGCAACAAAAGGCCAGTTTCAAATTAAGCTAGCGAATAAAGACTAGCATTTATTGAACACCTATGATACTCCAGGAAATATCTAGGCATTTCACATATGTTCACTAATTTGTTCCGATTTAAGCTTCCTGACAATTTTATGAAGTAGACATTATGGCCATTTTATCAAAGAAGAAACAGGCCTGGAGAGGTTTAAGTGAATTGCTCTTCCAGGCTCAAGATCTCATGGATAGAGGGGGAGGAGTAAGATGGCAGCCAAGTAACAGCTTCCTTGCCACTGGGCATGGTGAGACTGGAGAGTAAGAGTAAGGTCACCAGACATTCCGCTTTTGGCCGGAAGGGGGGGGGCGCGTGTCCCTATTTTTAACAATTTGTCCCACGTCCCGCTGTGTTTTAAAAAAGTCCCAATTTTTGGAAAGAATGCACAAGCTAGGGACCGGTGGGACAACAGGAAGGGAATATAGGTTTTCGGCTGCTGAAAAGGTTAATGTAACTCCATTTGGGAATGAAGAGGTTAATGTAACTTCATTTGGAAATGAAAAGGCTAATGTAAACTCCCTACTCCCCTCCTGGGCAAGGTCACCCAGGTGGACCGGAGCCCTACTCCTTTGAGCCACAGGCTGCGCCCTATACATAATTTTTTTTAATGTATTATATTTGTAAATTGTACTTACGTTGAAATTAAAAAATCATATATTACAATACTATTTTTGCATTCTATGAAAATTTTTGTTGCTCCATATAGACCAAATTTTTAATTAAGAACCCCCCCTTCCCTCCCCCCTGTCAATAGTGTCCTGCTTTACCAATGTTAAAATCTGGTCACCTTACTGGAGAGAGAAGACTCCAGGATCTCTGGCTGGTGGGATCTGCCCAGAAACATGCCTCTGGGGACACAGGGAGTCAGTGAGAGACTTCTGGACCCCATGAGGAGGACAAAAGCAGTGGAGAACTGGCAAGTGGTTGCGTGTGTTCCTTTGATCTAATCCTGCTGGCAGCTGTAAGTACAGCAGCCGTGAGATTGCAAACTGGAAAGGCCTTATCTGTGAACTGTTTTGGTTTTTTTGGACTTAGTTGAACACTTAGTTTTGCACTCAGTTGAATTAACTTGGGAGAACTTGGGCAAGAGTGCGGAGGACTTTAAGCGTTGTCTACGCCCCGGACTGCTCCACTGAGCCAGATGGAGCTAATAGTTTTTGGCTATGAGCCACTCAGAGCCATTGTGGGAGAACTGCCCCGGCAAGTTCCGCTCTCAGGGTTGCAGAGTGAGGATCAGCGGGAGATCTTGGGCACCTTGGGCGAGTAATCTAGTGACTGAGCAGCCTAAAGGTGGGAACTGAGACACCTTACAGCTTTAGGCCTCAAGGGCATAGAGTGAGACCAATTTTGGCACACTGAATAAGCAGACAGCCACTTCAGGAGTGATCCCAGCAACATGTGCTTTCCTGGGAAAACTTCTGCTTAGCCAAGGTTAACAGTTTAAAGTGACTTTTAAGCTGTCACTTTTAAATCTCTCTAAGGAGATTTAGGCTCTCCATCCTGTGGGGTTTGAGAAATCAGCAGAGGCCTCCAGTCTCCATCTTGTATAGCTGTATCAGCATTGTGATTAACATCTCATACCCTAGAAGATCACCTGTTGCCTAGACAATATTCAGCAAGATATACATATTGCTTTTTTTTTTAATTTCCACATTTTCCCTCTCCATTTTTCTATTTAAATATAATTCCTGTTGCCTTCTTTAACAATTAGAACTTCATTTTTGCTGGGGTTTCTACCCCTATTGTTTGGTCCCCCCCCCCAATTATATCCCATAAAGTTTTCTGTTTGCTTGTTTTGGTTTGATTTATAGAATTTTTATCTTTCCTCTCTACTTGGTGGAGGTGGGGTACTGTGTCTGAACAGGCTGGCAAAGAGCTGATGACCTCAAGGGCACCACCCACCCTAGCACCCCCAGAGGTTGGGGGTTTTAAGGTTGAGTCAAAGCACCCCACTGTACACCTATATTGCTCCTGTCTCCCTCTTTCTGTGCCTCTCTTCTTTTTGTCACTATTCCCTTTTACTCACCCCCTCTCCTTTCTCTTTTCTCTTTTTTCCCTTCTTGCTCTTCAATCTTCTCATCCTTCTGGTCTGTACCAAAAGGACTCATTGGAACCCTAGGCCAGAGGCACAGCAACTTAAAGAGCAAGAGGAAGTGAAAGGAAAATTAGGGCAAAGAAACAGATAAAAGAAATCACTCATGAGGAAGAATCAGCAGAAAACTCCTGGCAACATGAAAACTAGTCCAGAGCAACCCTCCCCCCACCCAAAGGACTATGAGGTGGCTACTACAGAGGACTCCATCTATAAAGAAATGTTATAGGCTCAGCGCCTGTGGCTCAGGCGGCTAAGGCGCCAGCCACATACACCTAAGGTGGCGGGTTCGAATCCCCAGCCCGGGCC